AAGATTAGACTTACTATAAACTTACAGAAATCAAGACAACATTGTCAAAAGAATAGGCCAATCGATCATGGAACAGAATAGAGCCCAGTTATGGATACATACAGCCAACTGATCTTTGACAAAGGAGTAAAAGCAATTCGGTGGAGAAAGGATAGTCTTTTCAACAAATGGTGCTGGAATAAATGGATATCCACATGCAAAAAAAATGAATCTAGACACAAACCTCATACCCTTCAAAAAAAAATTAACTCAAAACGTAACTCAAAATTAACTCAAAATGCAAAATTATAAAAGTCCTAATAGATAACAGAGAAGAAAACCTAGATAAACTTGGGTATGGCAATGACTTTTTAAATATAACACCAAAGGCATGATCCATGAAAGAAATAACTGATAAGCTAAACTTTATTAAAATTAAAAGCTTCTGCTCTCTGCAAAAGATATCAAAGAAATAATAAGACAAGCTACAGAGTGAGAGAAAAATACCTTCAAAACCACATTCTGATAAAGGATTTGTATCCAAAATATACAAAAAAATGTCTAAAACTCAACAATGAGAACCCAATTTTTAAACAGTCAAAAATGACCTGAAGATATACTTTACCAAATAAGATACACAGATGGCAATTAAATATATGGAAAGAAGCTCAATGCCATATGCCATAAGGGAATTGGAAACTGAATAAAAAATGAGATATTACAAACACCTATTAGAATGACTAAAATAAAGCAACTGACAATATCAAATGCTGACAAGGATGTAGAACAACTGGAATCTCATTCATTGTTGCTGAGAATGCAAAATGGTACAACCACTTTAGAAGACAGTTTGGCAGTTTCTTTCAAAGCTGACCATACATTGACCATACAATCCAATAATTGCACTACTAGGCATTTACTCAAACATGTCCCACAGAAGTCTGCACATGGATATTTACAGAAGCTTCATTCACAACTGCCAAAACTTGGAAGCAAACAAGATGTCCTTCAACAGCTGAATGGATAAACAAACTGTAGTACATTCATAAATGGAATTTTTCAGTGATAAAAAGAAATGGGCCATCAAATCACAAAAAGCCTTAGAGAAACCTTAAATGCCTGTTGCTAAGTGAAAGAAGCAGGTCTGAAAAGGCTATATACTATAAGATTCCAAATATGACATTGTAGAAACGGCAAAATTACAGACACTATAACAGAACAGTAGTTGTCAGAGATTGAGGATGTATAGAGAGGGTAGAGAGAAGGATGAATAAGTGAAGAACAGTGGATTTTTCTGGTGATAAAACAATTCTTTTGTTCATAATAATGTATCAATATTGATTCATTAGTTGTAAGAAATGTACCATACTAATTAAAGATGCTAATAATAGTAGAAACTGTGTGCTGTGGGAGTAGGGAGGAATGAGAGTCTTCTTATCTGCTCAATATTTCTGTAAATTTAAAACTGTTCTAAAATACGAAGCCTTTTAGTTTATGGACTGAATAAACCCTTGGGTTCTTGAAGGTAAACATCCGTCTATTAAATTCTAGTCATCTCATTGATGTAATCAAAATTTCTATTGGTTCACTATGAGACAGGAGACTTCTAAATATACTTTTCTATATTGTCTTTTTAAAATTGTAAAATTTTTATACTTCAAGATGACTAATAAGCTATATTTTGATATTAGTGTTTAATTTTTAAAATTCACACATCTCATAAATGTAGTAGAGAAAGAACAGGGGATCTGCCTAGATTCAATGAAAAATCCAAATCGTTAATTTCTCTAAACTTTAATTTCTAGTTCTTTAAAATGAGGAGTTGGCATGGGTTATCTCTAAGACCCCATCCAGTTCTAAGATTTTATGTTTCTAATAGTTGACTGTCCTGATATTTTTGAGACAGAGTCTCACTTTGTTGCCCAGGCTAGAGTGAGTGCCGTGGCGGCAGCCTAGCTCACAGCAACCTCAAACTCCTGGGCTCAAGCGATCCTCCTGCCTCAGCCTCCCGAGTAGCTGGGACTACAGGGCATGTGCCACCACACCCGGCTAATTTTTTTTTTTCCTATATATATTAGTTGGCCAATTAATTTCTTTCTATTTACAGTAGAGACGGGGTCTCGCCCTTGCTCAGGCTGGTTTCGAACTCCTGACCTTGAGCAATCCGCCCCCCTGGGCCTCCCAGAGTGCTAGGATTACACCTCCCCCGGCCTGTCCTGATATTTTTAATCAATTTAACTATTATTTGTGGACTGACTTCTAATGTGCACTAAGCAGAAAAATAACTGTATTCAATGAGAAAACTTTTATAAAGTTAGATTGAAATGCAAATAAAGTCCTATTAAGGGCTTATTAAAACTGAAATATTTGGTAAGAATAGAGTTTAATATTCTTGGCTGGGCGTGGTGGCTCACTCCTGTAATCGGAGCCCTCTGGCAGGCAGAGGGGGACAGATTGTTGGAGCTCAGAAGTTCAAGACCAGCCTGAGCAAGAGTGAAACCCCGTCTCTACTACAAAAATAGAAAGAAATTAGCTGGACAACTAAAAATATATACAAAAAAAATTTAGCCAGTCATGGTGATGCATGCCTGTAGTCCCAGCTACTTGGGAGGCTGAGGCAGAAAGATCACTTCAGCCCAGGAGTTTGAGGTTGCTGTGAGCTAGGCTGACCCCACAGCACTCTAGCTCGGGCAACAGAGTGAGACTCTGTCTCAAAAAAAAAAGTATGAAGAATACAATTTAATATTCTAAAGTAAATTGTCAAGAATACAATTTGAATAAGCTTAATTTTCTAAAGAAAATGGAATATATTGAAACATTCACTGACTAAACATGACATCAAGATTAAGAAAATATCTTAATATTTGAGAACTCTTTTTTTCCTTCTCTTACTATCATTTTTTTTTTTAATTTTTAATTTTTTTAGAGATGGAGTCTCACTACATTGACCAGTCTGGACTCAAGTGATCCTCCTGCCTCAGCCTCCAGAGTAGCTGGGACTATAGCCACATGCCACCATGCCTGGCTTCTGAGAGTTATTTTGATTTTTCAATGTAAGCACTATTATGATAGCTCAACTAAGATTATGAATTTGTCAGTTATAAAATATGTTAATGTTTATTGAATGCTTACTATTCTTAATAATTATTAGCTATAATTATTAATAATCACTCTACTATTCTGTGATATAGGGCCTATTATCATCACCATTTTACAGAAAAGGAAACTGAGGCTCATTGTTCCAGGTTACAACTTTATCATTTATTGAGCACTTACCATAACAAGGTACTAGGCTAAAAGTATTTTACCTTCTTTATGTTGTTGTTGAGACAGAGTCACACTCTGTTGCCTGGGCTAGAGTGCCATGGCGTCAGCCTAGCTCACAGCAACCTCAAACTCCTGGGCTCAAGTGATCCTTCTGCCTCAGCCTCCCGAGGAGCTGGGACTACAGACGTGTGCCACTATGCCCGGATATTTTCTATATATTTTTAGTTGGCCAATTAATTTCTTTCTATTTTTTAGTAGAGATGGAGTCTCGCTTTGGTTAGGCTGGTTTCGAACTCCTGACCTTGAGCGTTCCTCCAGCCTCAGCCTCCCAGAGTGCTTTTTATTTAACCCTTTCAACAACTCTGTGACTCAGTTACTTGCTCCAATTTACATATAAGACTCGGGCAGGCTGGGCACGGTGACTCACACCTATAAACCTAGCACTCTGGGAGGCCAAGGTGGGCGGACTGCTTGAGGTCAGGAGTTCAAAACCAGCCTGAGCAAGAGTGAGAGCTCCATCTCTACTAAATATAGAAAGAAATTAATTGGCCAACTAAAAATATATATATAAAAAATTAGCCGGGCATGGGGGCACATGCCTGTAGTCCCACCTACTCAGGAGGCTGAGGCAGAAGGATCGCTTGAGCCCAGGAAATTGAGGTTGCTGTGAGCTACGATGCCATGCCACTCACTGTAGCCTGGACAACAAAGTGAGACTCTGTCTCAAAAATAAATAAATAAATAATAATGGTAATCAAATAAATAAGACTCAGGCAAGTTAAGTAACTTTCTTATTAGCCTAAATTGTTATTCTTATTAGCCTAAATTGTTTTTCACTTTATTTACTTTTACTCACACTATCTGAAATTTCATTGGTGTTAATAAGCATTTTGTTTTAAAAAGAAAAAACTCTGGAGAGAGTATCTGACGTTAACAAGCTTGTATAAATGTATTAATATATAAGGATAGCTTTCTTCCATTAAGATGAGTTGTTAATAAAAACAGCTACCCTGAGGGAGTAAAAAGTTTAATTTGGAGGTGAGAAAGCAAGAGATCTGAGGCTCAACTTAGAAGGATTCTGCAGGCCTGAGCTAGATGAAGTAGTGAAGACTAAAGGAAGTACGATTGTTCTAGGGAAGCATACGATTAGTATCAATAGTGTAAGGGTTGGGGATGATATAGACAGAGGAAGATTGCCAAATACAAACCACCTACTTCAGAACTTTGCCCAGACTGGAATTTTCCCAATACAAGAAACATAACTTCATTTTCTACTATTTTCTGAAAACAAAAGTGGGTTTTAATGACTACTAACCTAACCCATCATTGAAATGGAGATTAAAAGTACATTTTAAAGTTAGAAACACCCTTTAAAAAATAACTTGAATGCAGTAAAAAGTGTTACTCCTCCTCCCTCTTTTCTTCCATCAATTCTTCAATACTGACAACTGCAGGGTAACTTAAAATACCCAACTTTCTCACCTATCCTCAATGTCAGTACAAGCTATAAATTATTATCCCTAAGTTCCAACTCTGTCAAAGTTTTTAAGAATAAAGATATTAATATTAAATAACTAAATGTTCTTTTCCTCCTGGTAACCATAAATAAAACAAAATACCTACATACAAAGTCTAATTTGACTTTTTTATTAATATGCTAATAGATAATAGTCAACTTTTTAAATAGTTGAAACTATTAAAACTTTTTAATAGTTTAAATAGTTTACTTTCAATTAGTTAAATAAAATTATTACCTTCAGGCAGTGGCTCAAGTTTAAATTCCAGGCTTCAAGCATTCTATTCCCCCAGAAATGCCCTTTCTTGTCCACTGAAGTTCTTCCTTTTGGGGGCACTAAATAATAATAGCTGTAGCTTCATTTATGTGAAAGCTATAATTGTGTCTTCACAGCAGCATTTTCTCTGTAATGAGAAATATTCAATATATATTTTATTTTCCTACACATAAAGAAAACTACTAGATTTCATTATTCAGTTTTTATTTAAAAGTAACCATTACCAGCCTGGTAAGGTAGAACCATCAATTGACTCAGTTGAAGAGAACTAAAGACCAGGACTGACTTTACAGATAACTACAGGTGTTCTGGGTTGGGTGACTTAACCTCTCTGTGCCTATTTCCTTATGTAAAATTAGGGATCTGAACTAAGGTTTAAACTCTCTCATTCTGATTACCACTAAAACAAATACCTCTGCAGCAAGTTACACTTTTTTCCTCAATGAAAATATTTGCCAATAGGGCATCTTTTGGAGCCACAAGAAGCTTGAAAATAAAGGTTCCCTTCCTCATTTTCCCCTCCCAAATTCTAGAATTGACAAGCTGAGTTCTTAAGCAAGACATATTAGGACTGGATAAAGAAGGCAGAAATAAAGAAGTATTAAATATGGAATCTAAACAGTTAATAATGATTGGACCTCAAAAAACACACTGAGTCATTAAATTTTGCTGGCAAATTGCATTCTAGAATGTTTCATATCCCATTTAAAAAGTAGATTTATAATATATCAAAAGTAAAAATTAGAATCTATAAAATTAGTTCAGTTTTTATTTACAGGCAGAAAGGACTTTTTACTATTTATATGTAGTGAATGCATAGCAGAGACTAATCAGGCTATCATCATTTGTATCTCTATAAAAGGACCATGCTTGGCTATTGCTATTTTGCTTTTGTTCAATAGCAATCCTGTTTGTTCAAGCCTTTAAAAGGTAATTTCTCAGGTGTAATTTCTAAAAAAACTGTCAACATCCAATTGAGTTTTGCTCCTAGACTTCTATGTATTAAAATATGTATGTTAAAACCAGTAATCTAAGGATAAATCCCCAAACAGGATAATTGAAGAATGAAGCCACTTGAAGGTTAGTCTTAGAGTTTCAGAGTTTCTTTTAATTCCAGGTACCTTGGTTAATGTTCCAAGATTTAAAGAATCTTGAATCTATTCAATATCAGTGTCAGATCTTAACTACATATTAGCTACATTAAAAAATACTGCTCAAAAGTACTTTAGAAAATAAAATTTTGGCAGGTGTGGTGGCTCACTCTGTAATCCTAGCACTCTGGGAGGCTGAGGCGGGTGGATCATTTGAGCTCAGGGGTTTCAGACTAGCCTGAGCAAGAGCAAGACCCTGTCTCTACTAAAAAATAGAAAGAAATTAGCTGGACAACTAAATATATATATATAAAAAATTAGCTGGTCACAGTGGTGCGTGCCTGTAGTCACAGCTACTCGGGAGGCTGAGGCAGAAGGACTGCTTAAGCCCAGGAGTTCTAGGTTGCTGGGAGGTAGGCTGATGCCACGGCACTTAAGCCCAAGCAACAGAGTGACATTCTGTCTCAAAAAAAAAAAAAAGAAAAGAAAATTTTCCTCATCTTTGAGAAGTAGGCAAATGACATAATGTCCCTTTTATGTGTGCAAAATTACTATGCATCAGTGGTGTCAAAAATTAAATCAAGACTCCTAATTCACAAATATTTTAATACGATTATTTATTTTTTTAAAGATGGGTTTTGAAAGTTATATGTTAAATTAACATAAAAAATTTAAATATATGCAAATATATAAGCAATAACATATTAACTTTCTATTTTTCAGGGAACAAAGATCTAAGACTGCTATTCATAATGTCCCTTCTCTCTCTTAAGGTTTGTCCTCTCTATATGCTTTTCTGTAATCTGGTTTTCTACCCATTTCTTGCCCTGCACACAAACTTTTTTACCTCTTTGCTCTTTGAGAGCTTTACAAATTATTTCATTTAATCCCTGCAATGACTCTGATGTATATCTTTTTATCTCTATAGATAAGAAAACTGAAACTGCCAAGTAACTTGCTTAGGATCACAGAGAGCACTAGGTTCAGATTCAAAACTAAGTAGGAAAAAACCACAAAAAACAATTAGGATTCCAAAGCCCATGCATATGGGCTTTATATCATATCACACTACTGATATTACACTATGTGTAATTACACATAGTCTTTATATCATATTACATTACCATGACATTATATACAGGAAAAAAGAAACTATAATAAAGAGAAATATACTTTCCAAACTGTGGTTCTCCAGATAACAACGTGTCTCCCTCAGGATCAGAGTAAATGAATCTTGTAGAAAGTCTGAGAACCAAATGCTTGCAGTTCATGTTCTAACTAAACTTAAGAAAAACACTCAAAGTAAAAGCATTACCTATTCTAGGTACTACTTGGAGGCAACACCAGATATGACCCACAAATCACTGCTGAAAAAATCCCAAACACATAATATTGGGTGTTCAGTTACTTTGGAATACTTATTAATTTTTCCTTAACTAAAGGTCAAATGAAAAACATATTTTGGTGGATTCAAGATTTCTGCTTTGTAAATGAAGTATTATTATGCATATATTCAGGTTCTGTATTTTCCTGATATTTTTCAATCCAAATTAAGACCAAACGGTATTCACTCTATTAGGCATTGTATCTTATTTTGATAAGTTTCAAGTCAATGATTAACTATACATTTTTAAGATATTTTAACCAATGATATATTATAAAAAATATGGATTCAGCCGGGCGCTGTGGCTCACGCCTGTAATCCTAGCTCTTGGGAGGCCGAGGCGGGCGGATTGCTCAAGGTCAGGAGTTCAAAACCAGCCTGAGCAAGAGCGAGACCCCGTCTCTACTATAAATAGAAAGAAATTAATTGGCCAACTGATATATATATAAAAAATTAGCCGGGCATGGTGGCGCATGCCTGTAGTCCCAGCTACTCGGGAGGCTCAGGCAGAAGGATCACTCAAGCCCAGGAGTTTGAGGTTGCTGTGAGCTAGGCTGACGCCACGGCACTCACTCTAGCCTGGACAACAAAGTGAGACTCTGTCTCAAAAAAAAAAAAAAAAAATATGGATTCAGTAGCAAAACTTCAATTTAAAAAGTGTTTCATGTTTCAGGTACCGCAATTTATTTAATGTGTAAATCCTCACCATTACAATGAATCACATGGTCAAATGACAACGGCTTCTATTAGCAAGTTCAGTCCTAACAAGAGCTTTCCTGGGGCTTCAGCACAGAGACTTTTTTACTTCCACCCATGTGGCTATTCTCCCTTATTCATGCTGTCAAAGCTTCTAGTTAAGCTTGAATTGATAACTATTATGACGGTAATAATAATTAACATATACTGAGTACTTTTCTATGTGGCATTTTATTGTCGAGTTAACCAAACTGTGGCACAGAGAGGTTAATTAAATAGCAGACACAGGATTTGAACCCAAGAATTCTGCTTCCAGGGCCCCGCATTCTATGAGTACATTGAAAACAGTGATTTTATTGTCATTGCTCTCTAATAAAAGATTATTTTTTGCTTCCAATTGTTTAAATCTCTTCTCATTTTCTACGGTTGATTTAAATATTAGGCATCCACTTAATTGCAGTACATTGTTACGCAACATAAAAAAGGAAAGCTTTAGTTATCTTCACCTGCACACATACCGCTCTGCCCATAAATTTTGCAATCCAGTTTTGCCTGATTCTAAACTGCAGTCTCTTGAAGTCCCTCTCTTGGAGCTTTTCTGGTGAAGGCCTTAAAAAATGACTTTGGAATCTGGATAGTTATCTCTCCATCCATCCTCACTCAGAAAAACAACTATATTGAATTAGAGTAATATACTTAGGACCACTGAGAACAAGACATAAGCCATTGGGAAACTTCAAGACAAAAAAAAAAAAAGCGGAGGAGAAGGTGTGAGAGGGTGCTTTCCCCCTTTTAAACATAAGGTATAAAAGGGCTCAGAATAGGGAGAAAGACCCTAAAGAGCGGGGTGCAGGGCAACGTGAGGGACCACACACTGGGCGCTCCGCCCAAGGGGTCCGGTTACGTCTCCGCCACAGTGGCCAGTCCTCCGGCTCAGCAACCCTCCTTCAAACACCTAACCTCCTCCTCCTCCAGCCTGCCTCCCCGGGGCCCGCGAGCCCCCTCCCGGGCCGGAGCTAGTAGGCCCTGCCATGGAGGACCCCAAAAAGGCCCCGAGGCGGGACGCGGAGGCCGCTGCCAGTGCCGGGATGCTGCTGGGGGCGGGGGCCGGCAGTAGTTTGAGCCCGGGAGGGTCAGGGGTGACTGGAGGAGGAGAGAGGAGGAAGAAAGGGGGGTTGGGAGGTAGCGTCCGGTCCATGGACGTAGACAGCTCTGCCAAACCTCCGACTTCCCCAGTTCTGCCGCCGCCGAGAGCCCCACGAGGCGAGGAGGGAAGTCCGCCGGAGCAGAGGGGAGAAAATTCAAAACGAGTCTACTCAACCTCGTCTTGGCTCCGAGGCCCCGCCATGGAGACCAGCACAATGCGCAGGCGCACCCCTCTAGGCAAGCGCAGGGCAGTCCCACAAGATTAGGACCACAGTCGGCCACCGTCGCCCGTTTCCCTTCTCATCGATATTTTTTTTCGTGTTTCCGCCCCTCGCTTGGATCTAAAACCTGAAACTAGAGTCGGAGAACCCAGGAAAAATCTCGGCCGAAAGAGGTTCTGGTTGGAGATATGCCTGAGCAAAGAAATCTGGCAGAGCTTTATTGAATCAAACATGAAGGCAGAGGAAACTTAATAGGTATCTGGCTGGAGTCAGGAAGATCTAATGCAAATAAAATATCCTGAGGGCAGCGTGGCAAAAAGACTACAATTCCCAGTGGTTACTGCGACTGAGAAGCGATGCTTTCTGGGGGTTGCAGTATCTAGGAGCTGTGTTAGACGTATCCAGGCTCAGAACAGCCTCTTTACAATTTTTTTTTTCTGTTTTTAAAAGCTGATTTGAGTCTAATATTTCCATATTCTTCTAATAGATCACAGGCCTAAATGGGAAGAAATCTAAAACAGATTAAAGGGGCATACTGTCTTTAAGACTATACTTTCCTAATCGATGATTCCTAAATCTAGGAATAGGTAATTGATGCATGTGGGCTGGGCGTCTGTGGAAGGGCAACCTCGTGGTGCCTTCCGCTGAGAAGACCCAAGGAAAGAGCGGAGGCCAGGTTTGGACTGTAGCTTCTCGCTTGCCTGTGCAGTCTAATTTTGAGCTGCCTCTTTGTAGTCCTAAGAGACAAGAGCTCCGGTTCTCTGACCACTAACCCGTACGTTTCTGTGGACTAGTCCTGTGTCTACTCTTGGCCATGGCTCAGCTCCAGACACGCTTCTACACTGATAACAAGAAGTAAGTGAGCGTCCCACCTTTCTACCCCTTCCCTCCTGTCTTTTCCAGTGACTCCTTTTATGTGGCCTTGTGGATCTATGGTTGTCTTTGCCGTCAGCTCACTCTCTCCATTATGCCCCCCCCCTTTTTTTTGCTAGACTCCTCTCTTGAGTTGGTTGACCGCTCAAGTTGAAAGCCTGCCTTGTGAGGGTTTCTCAGAGACCTCCTGGCAGTTCTGTGAAATCTCCTTTCTGCTCAGCTTTGCGGGCTCTTTACAATTTTAATTGTAATGTGCAGGGGACTAAAGGGCTTCAAGTTTGCTTTATCAATAAAGCGCACTATATGCATGATTTAACAACGAACAAGGGGCCTTGGCGTTCAGGCTCTCTGTTAGTGGTGTTTCAGTTTGTGAAAACACTTCATTTTCTTTTTAAGTAGGTGATAGAAGATGCTTTTCTAAACCCTGTTACAAAGTGGAGCTCTGAATAGGGGTGGGTAGAATTGTTGTTGTTGTTGTTGTTTTTCTGAGACAGAGTCTCACTTTGTTGCCCAGGCTAGAGTGAGTGCCGTGGCATCAGCCTAGCGCACAGTAACCTCAAACTCCTGGGCTCAAGCAATCCTCCTGCCTCAGCCTCCCGAGTAGCTGGGACTACAGGCGTGCGCCACCTTGCCTGGCTAATTTTTTCTATATATATTTTTAGTTGGCCAATTAATTTCTTTCTATTTTTAGTAGAGATGGGGTCTCCCTCAGGCTGGTTGTGAACTCCTGACCTTGAGCAATCCGCCTGCCTCTGCCTCCCAGAGTGCTAGGATTACAGGCGTCAGTCACCGCGCCCGGCCTAGAATTGTTTTTCGTTAAGAGTATGAAGTCAATGCAGTTACAGATTTAAGTATTTTTGTGTATACATGTATACTATGTTATATAAATATAAATGCATTATATAATTTATCGCGTGTTTGTACATAAACAAGCCATTTGCAAACATAAACATACTTAACAATTATTAGTGTGTACATATACGTATGTATATATATATATAAATTTTTACCAATGGTCCCAAGGTCTGTAGCACTCATTTTAAACCTAATTATATGCTGCCTTGTGGTATATATTGCACTATTAATTGTCTTTGTGTTTGCCTGATCTCTTCAACTATATTGTAAGTCTCTTAATGGCTGGGACTATGTATTAAGCTTCTTGGATTGACTGAATCAATAGTGTCAGTTTTTTCTGGTGCTAATGATAATAAATATTTGTTGTATTAACAAACTGATGTCAGCATAAACTAGAAAACTAGAAAACTCCCACCTGAATTAAGATTATGCCTTTGATTTTGTCTGTAGCTTTATGAGCAGACCTGGTAAGTCATATTCACTACTCTTATATTGTTGCTTATAGAATACAAAAATCATATATAGTTTTTTTGTTTTTTGTTTTCCCTAGAGATGGTTCTCTGCTGTGTTGCCCAGCCTGTAGTACAGTGGGCTGATCATAGCTCACTGCAGCCTCAAATTCCTGGGCTCAAGGGATCCTTCCATCTCAGCCTACCCAGTAGTAGCTGGAACTACTAGCTGTCACCACCATGCGCAGCTATCTTTTTCTTTCTTTCTTTTCTTTTTTTTTGGTAGAGATAGGGTCTTACTATGTTGCCCAGGCTGATCTTGAACTCCTGGGCTCAAGTTATTCTCCTACCTTGGCTCCGAAAGTGCTGGGATTACAGACATTAGCCACCACATTCAGCCCTAAATCATATTATCGATGCCAATGAGTATATATACTTAGCCTTAATACTTCTCAAGGAACGTGGTGATGCAGTAGCATAACCACTATATTTTTTAGTTGAAATTTTTATTGAGATAACTGTTGAGTCACATGAAATTTGAAGAGATAATAGACCATTGTATTTTTTTTCTTTTTGAAGCCAGTCAAATTTAGCAGTGGGGGGTTGAATACCAACTTTAGTGACACTAATGTTAATAAGTTCTGATAACCCACTACCATCGGACCAACCAACTATTGTATTTTAACTCCTGAAATGAACAGATAGATGTTTGTGTGTATGGATTTAGGTAACAAAACCTATAAATTAAAGTAACAAAAGGTAACAAAACCTAGAAATTAAAGTTCTTGGTGCTTCTTTCACTTAACGTGTTTTGGTCAGTAAATGAGGGTTGGAAAGTACTAGTATGCACATGTATATGTATGTAATTCACATTTATGTGTATATTCATGTGTGTAAGAGAGAATTTTGTTAGTTCCCCCCTCCCCATATTTTACTGTCCAAAATATTAAGTTAAAGGAAGAAGCAAAAATTTTAATTTCTAGGTTTTGTTACCTTTTGGAGAACGTAAATAACTGCTTACTTTGGGGGAGCCATGATAAATATAAATATAGTCTTATTACTAAAAATGTAGTTTGAGGACCAGCAGGATCATATTTGCAGAGTTCTGCAACCATCACCACAGTCATTATTAGAACATTTCTCATTGCCCTTTAGCTATCATCACTCAATCCCTGATTGAGTGGCAACCACTGATCTATTTTCTGTCTCTGTAGATTTGTCTCTTCTGGACATTTTGTATAAAAGGAATTATGTAATATGTGGTCTAGTGTGACTGGCTTTCTTCACTTATGATATTTTTATGGTTCATTCATGCTGCAATATGTATTAGTACTTCATTTTCTTTTATGGTCAAATAATATTCCATTGTATGGATGTACCACATTTTTCTGTTTGTCAGTTGATGGACATTGGATTTTCTCTACCTTTTAGCTATTATTAATAGTGATTATATGAACCTGTGTGAGTTTTTGTGTGAGCATATGTTTTCATTTCTCTTGCACATATACTTAAAAGTGAAATTCTTGGGTCAGATGGTAACAGACTGTTTTTTAAAGCAACTGCACCATTTTACATGACCACCAGAAATGAAGGTTTCCATTTCTCCTTACCCTCACCAACACTTATTATTATCTTTTTTATGATAGCCACCCTAGTGGATGTGAAGTGATAGTCATTGTGTTTTGATTTGTGTTTCCCTGTTGACTAATGATGAACATCTTATCATGTACCTGTTGATGATCTTTATCTTCTCTGGTGAGGTGTCTATTCAGATCCTTTGCCCATTTTTAAAATTGTCTTGCCTTTTTATTATTGAGTCATAGTGTTCTTAATATATTCTAGATACAAGTTCCTTATTAGATATATGATTTGCAAATGTTTTCTTACATTTTCTCTTATAAGAGTCTCCTAATCTGCCTTAATGTAATGTGTTCCTCTAACCTAGTCTCCATTGGACAGCAAAAAAGATCTAATTAAACAAAATTCTAATGTTATTTCTTTTTTTTTCTTTTCTTTTTTTTTTTTGAGTGATGGAGAGACACAGAGTCTTGCTCTGTCGCCCAGGCTAGAGTGCCACAGTGTCAGCCTTGCTCATAGCAACCTCAAACTCCTGGGCTCAAGTGATCCTTTCTGCCTTAGCCTCCTGAGTAGCTGGGACTACATGCACACCTCACCATTCCTGGCTAATTTTTTCTATTTTTAATAGGGACAGGGTCTCAGGTCTCACTTTTGCTCAGGCTGGTCTGGAATTGCTGACATTAAGCTATCCTTCTGCTTCGGCCTCCCAGAGTGCTAGGATTACAGGCATGAGCCACTGTGCCCACCTAGCCTGGTGATGTTATTTCTAATTTTACTGCTATAGTAGTTCTTCATTGCCCACAAAAGGAAGTAAAAACTATTTCACACATTATATACATAAGCACCCATGTACATCTCTTTAGCCTTATCATTGGTTATTGTCTAGAACAAAATCATACTTTCTGGAATAGGCTGGGTGGGTAGCTTAACAACTCCTAGCTATTTTGATATTCTCTTTGCATTTCCACACCTCTTCTTCTTGCCTTGCCCTCCCTTACCTGGCAAAAACTCACTTTTGTAGATATAGCTTAAGAATTATTATTATTTATTTATTTTTTTAGACAGAGTCTCCCTTCTGTTTCCTGGGCTAGAGTGCCATGGCATCAGCTTAGCTTACAGCAACCTTAAACTCCTGGGATCAAGCAATCCTACTGCCTCAGCCTCCCAAGTAGCTGGTACTACAGGCATGCGCCACCAGGCCCGGCTAATTTCTTCTATATATA